AGATCTTATTTATTCACGATGTACTTACAAAAAAATCCGCAGACTACCTCCTGGATCTCCTCTCTGTTTCAAAGAACAAATTTGACCTCAGGTCTTCGCTCATCTACCAGCTTCACATTCCCTATTGCCGTACAAAAACCGGAGGAAGGGCCTTTGTTACTGATGCCCCCAGGGTCTGGAATGCTATTGCCAATAAACTGCAACTTGAATCACTACCTATGAGATCTTCACTCAAAACTGCTCTAGAGGAGTTGTACACCCCTAGCTGCCACTGCTATTCAGTGGCCTAAAATAAAATAAAATGTTTCGCTCCGGATGACCGCTGCAAAGTATTATCTGTATTTTGATTTAGTGTGCTGATCTTAAAGGTGCATTGAAAAATGTGATACTCCGACTGATGCTCCTGTTGTTTGTGGAGTGACTCATGCAGCCAGCTGTGGCTCTAGGGTTTGGTGTTACATGTTATTTATGTAGTTTATTGCTAAAAATTCGGTCACAGTTCCTATGATCACTGTTACATTGCATTTATGGCTTTATTTTGGTGATTTCTAAAAGTTTTTTGGTTTGGCCATGTTTTTGTTTATTGTAGTACGGAGTTAGACTGATGGCCTTAATCTAAGTTTTGTTGTTGTTGTTTGACTTGCATCCCACTGAGATTTTTGCACACAGCGTTGGTGTACGGTGCTATTTCAGGAATATTTTTGATGTTTTTTTCCTGGATTTTCTGTTTGCACATGCACAAAGTCACTTTAAGATCTTCTTTGGTTCTTTCGGTAAAGTCACGTAGAATGAGAATAAAATAATAAATTGATAAAATAAAATAACACAATAATATTCTCACGACGTTTCGGCCACAACTCAAGCGTCCCTTCACCTGATGAAGGCCGCTTGTATTGTGGCCGAAACGTCGTGAGAATATTATTGTGTTATTTTATTTTATCAATTTATTATTTTATTCTCATTCTACGTGACTTTACCGAAAGAACCAAAGAAGATGAATCATTGCAGTCACGAAAGCTTTAAATCACTTTAAGATGTTTTCTTGTTCATGTTTTAGATTTTTTGTTTGTTGCGGTTGCACCTGATTCAAGAGCCGAATGGCTCACAGGGCTATACCAAATAAATGAAAACTATGAAAATTTAAAACTAAACTCTTGGTTGGGAATGACAGCACCGGATGATTAACTACAACTGTGCGTATGTATGTTTAACTCCTTTAGCACCGTACGCATTCAACCGTACTAATCGGAGGTACGCTCAATGCACCCACAGCATTAAACAGGGCGGCCGCTGGAATCAAACCTCTGCTTGTTGCGGAGGTTTACAGGCCAGCGCAGAGACAAGTGATGTCCCCTGTTCACAGGAGTCATGTTAGACTGGTGGTGGTGGTGACAGCAGCTCATTAGGGGCCCTAAGCATCATTTATTTTTTTATGTTTCCCATTGCTACGAAAGTGATATGATGAACAAGGTGAATAACGTAATAATATCACAGTTGTAATAATGAGGCCAATTAAGACAAATCACAATTCTTTTCGTCGGGGAATGATGAACTTTTCCTTTATTATACGGATCTGAGTTCGAGGTAATATTCGATTTACCCCGATTGTCTTCATGAACCTGGGGCCTCTTCAGTTGCTTAGGGCCCCACGCTTTTACTTGGTTTGCTTACTCCTGGCACCGCCACTGCCTATCGAGATAGGGAAGCATCCACTGGCACACGGCGTTTCCTTTGCAATTCGACTTGAATGGAATCTTTTACAGACCATGATAAATATGCATGTAAAAGAGTAGGTGATTTTAGAGCGAAAGAACAAAGACGAGTTTGTGCAGAATAAAACCGACAATAACGCGTTAGACATCCAGCACAATGGCCGAAAGGATGGGTACAAGGGCCCGCACTGAAGGTTCTCCACAGGCTTGCCGGGCTCACCACTCTGCCTGATCGAGTGAGGAGCTCGGCAATCCGGGAGAGCCTCAGGGTCGAGCCGCTGCTGCTCCTCCAGATCGAGAGGAGCCACTTGAGGTGGTTCGGGCACCTGGCAAGGACGCCGCCCGCAAGGCTCCCCCTGGACCCTCCCGGGCAGCAGCAGCAGCAGCAACGTCCCGACACTGGGCCAAGACCCCGGGGCCGGCCCAGGACCACGCTGCTGCTGCTGCTGCTGGTGCTGCTGGCGGGACGACGTCGCTCGGCTGGCCTGGGAACGCCTGGGGATTACCCTAGGAAGAGCTCGAGTCTGTGTATTGTAGTGTATAGTGTAGTGTATAGTGTATAGTAGTGTTGAGTAGTGTATAGTGTAGTGTATAGTGTAGTAGTGTTGAGTAGTGTATAGTATTGTAGTGTATTGTGTAGTAGTGTATTGTATAGTGTAGTAGTGTATCGTGTAGTGTATAGTGTTGTAGTATATAGTAGTATAGTGTATAGTAGAGTATAGTGTAGTAGTGTATAGTGTAGTAGTGTATAGGGTATAGTAGAGTATAGTGTAGTAGTGTATAGTGTAGTAGTGTATAGTGTAGTAGTGTATAGTAGAGCATAGTGTAGTGTATAGTAGAGTATAGTGTAGTGTATAGTGTATAGTAGAGCATAGTGTAGTGTATAGTGTAGTAGTGTAGAGTAGCGTAGAGCTCGAGTGTGTCGCCAGGGAAAGGGAGGTCTGGACCCAACACGCTGCCGCCGCGACCCTCGCCACGACTAGCGGGTTGAAAAACGAACGCACGAACATCTGCCAAGCTTCACAGGCTGACGTGGCGGGACCACGTGCACGTTGTCTGGACCATGTTCTCTTTTAACACATCTGGAGAGCTTGGAAGAGTAGGCCAAATACCTTCCCAGACTCTACAGGGTCTTTCCAGAGCTCCCTCTAGTGAAGGCCCTTCTGCCAGCAGTGGCGTGAGCAGGCAGGTGCAGGGCTGCGCCTTTGTCTTGCGAGTCATTTGATTGGATCAGCATATGCAGTCTGCTCTCAGAAAACAGAAGCTACCATCCAGCGGTGGATTGAGGATGGTTAAGGGTAGGAAGAGTTTTCAAACGACTTCTGAACAGGCAGGTATGTGGTCTCTGTTCGGATTAAAAAAAATACGACTGATGCCTTTTGGGTCCATAACCAAATGCCATACAATCACGTCTCATGCCAAAATAACGTTGTCTCACTTCTAATTAGCGTAATCATTCAATGGTACAGATTCTGTTCTGTCCACGAGGGTTCTTTTCTCGGGATTGAAGTAACGCCCTAAACATTTTCATTCTTGGAACTAGAATAGAAATGTTGCCTCCCACTTCAACTGATCTCAACTGAGATCTCGTAGGCGGCAGCTGGCCGACCCGTTCAGACCAGAGCGCAGGGAAGAAGCCTCGCCATTGCCAGTAGATTGTCACTGAAAGTTGTTATTTTGTGTTCAATGCAGGGATGCTACCACTGGGAAACGACGGTGAACACCCCCTGTGGTTGCAATCCAGAGGTCGCCGATTTAAATCTCCCATGCGCGGCAGTTTAAACAATCGGCACGTTAAATTTTGATTTAAAGCTTTCGTGACTGCAGTAATTCATATTCTTAGTTATTTCGGTAAAGTCACGTTGAAGGGAAACAACAAAATAATAATATATATAACAATAAAAATTCTCACGACGTTTCGACCATAACACAAACGGTCGTCTTCAGGTGTGTTGGTTTGTGTTATGGTCGAAACGTCGTGAAAATTTTTATTGTTTTATATATATTTTTTATTATTTTGTTGTTTCCCTTCAACGTGACTTTACCGAAAGAACTAAGAATATAATCGGCACGTTTTTATTTATTTTAAATCCTCCGCCTCTGCCCACCCATCAGGTCGCGTGTTGCGTACGACTCCAATCCCTGTCGTGTCCAGCAAGAGTCGGCACATCACCACGTTGTGGAGCCTCCCCTGGTGGAAGCCCCAGGAAGTGACTCAGCAGCCTGCGGCGCGGAATGTTCTCGATGTCCGTGAAGTTCTCGGGGTGGGGGGGGTGGCTTCGCGCCGTCGAGGCTTGGATGGGCGACCACCGTGCACCACGTGGTGGGCATCAGAGGGCACGTGCAGCAACCTCCATTGTTGTCCCGGACTTCTATGCTCATCCAGCAGTGGATTGAGAAAAGGGCTGTGCATGTGTACGTGCGCTTTTATGGCAGTGAACTAAAGTATGTTGCGGTAAGTATTGTGAATGCTGACTGGTCTCGTCAAGAGTACAGTTACATTTCAGGTTGCCCCATACATCACTGCCATCGGCACATGGGAGATTCATCATCATCCATGTTCTATTCACTGTTGGATGAAGGTGTGTGTGATTGACCAGATTTGGATACCGTGAGCAAGGTGTGGGGTGAGGGTTATAAGGTAAAAGACGTCAAAGACATCCTCTTAAAAGCGACGGTGGGCAAGCGAAGGGTCGACTGGTTTAACCGCCATGGCACCGTGGAAATTACATAACCTCGCCTCAGGACCAAACGCGAAACCTTCCAGAGCGCGTTCCTCCGTGTGTTTCTTGTCCGACACGATAATTAATAATCATTGTATAATCACTGCCACGAGCAATTTAGCGGCACGTCAATAGAATGAGCGCGCCACTGCGACTCGACGCACGCGGCACTCGCGCGGGACGGGGAGGGCTGGAAACTCATCATCATCATCATCTTCTTCATCTGCCGCGCAATCCGCGCGCCAATTGACTCATTGGCGCGCGTGATTCATTCGCAATCTCCCCTCCTCCTCCTCGTGTTGCTCATGAATGGGACTCAGGTGGCGAAGGGGTGGGCGGGGTTGAGGGTGGGCGGGGTCGGCGGGAGGGGTGGAGGGAGGGGGACGTGCTCTAAGCGCGAGACGAAGTGGGGGGGGAGGGGCGCGAGGCAGTGGGCGGGGCTGTAAGACGAGGGGGGGTGGGTGAGTAAGTGGGGGAGGGGGTGGAGTGAGGGGGTGGGGGTACCCAGTTGTTAATGGGGAGGGGCGCGGTAGGGGGTTGCGAGGGGCGGGGCTCGCGGGTACTAAGTCACGTGGTGCGTAGTTCGCGCCATTTTTCTCAAACAGCGGCGTGAGCGCGCGCGCGGCGGATGACCCCGTCCAGCGTCAACAACAATTTAGTTTGTTTTAATATTCGATGTAAACTTATAATTAGTCACAAATGTTCAACAAAGAAGTCTACAGTTATAAGCGCAGGTAAGCCTTTTTTATAAACACGACCGTGTGACGGAAGTTTACGCGAAACAATTTAGAAACATTTAAGTTTGTGAGGGGGGGGGGGTGGTGTCTGTAAAAGTTGTGGACGCTGCTGTCGGAACAATGCCGCCGCTAACTTAAGTTAACTTTTCCCGACCAAAATATCCACTCGCATCGTTATAAAATCGTGCCCGTTCCGCCACTAGGCGCGCGCAGGCGTTGTGAAGTCGCTAATTTTAAAAAGTGATGCTTTTTTTTGGGGGGGTGGTGGATTTTTTTTTTAAAATAAAGTTTAAATCGCGGCCCGCCTGCCCGCCCGCGGCGTGGTGAGTGCGGGCTAGTCGAGCCCACCAGGCCGCGATTGCGCGACAAACAAAAAAAACGGCGCGCGAGCCGCCCCTTCTCGCCACCCATTTTTTTTTGTTCAATAATTTCTCTTTTTTTCGTTAATCTTCGCGACCAGAAGTAAACGCTGCAACTTCGCCTCGCCGTTTTTTTGTTACAGCAACTGCTGCGGTGTTTTTTTTTTTGCGAGGCGTGTGTGTGTGTAGCTCTGCTGCCTGTGTTGGTGGGTGACCGCGGGCCGAGCACATGTTCGCCTGTAGCGGGGCATGGGGGGGGGTGGTGGTGTGATTTTTGGCTCCGCGGGTGTCGCGCATAACAAAAGCGGCTCGTCCCAAACGGCGACAAACTCGCACCGAGCAACTCTATTGTCTAAGATTTTCACACCTGAGTGGTGGCGCGCGGTGCTAAATGTCGCTAAAGCGGCGCGAAAAGTTTTTTTTTTGTGTGTGGAGGCAACGGCGGGGCCCGCACCCCGCCCTGGAACAATGGCCGCCGCCAGCAACATGTGGACGAGCACATGGCGAGCGGGGTCAAATGATAACTCTCACTCGAGCGAGTTGTTCTTCTGTTGCCACGTTTCTGGTCGTGTTCGTGCGGCGCCGCTTTCCCCTACATTACGGCTATTTTGTTGTATTTTTTTTTACTTTCGTTAATTTTGTAATGCGCTGGTTTCGGTTGTTGCCTAATACGCCGCCTAACAAACACGTGTTCGCAGGCGAAGCTGGCAGTGAGTGGTGCTCTCTTGCATTGTACGCTTAGCAATTATTTAAATACTTGTTTGTAATAAATTGCTTACAATTTACCAATTAACTTTACAGAAATTTTAGTTTTTATATATTGATATCGCGTACACGTGCTACAATCGGCGCTTCCAATTAGAATTGGAGAAATAACGCCGCTTTGTACAATATACGCGGTGTTACTCCAATAAACATTTGTAGCCTCGTACACCGCGGTGTTACAGGATTTGTACATTATGCGGAGTGTACATCTGCTGTGTACATTATACGCTAGGCAGCTGGATGCGACTCGCAACATTTTAATAATTGTTATTTAAGTTATCAAGTGTTATCGGCTGCGCAGCTGTTTAAAACATAGTGTGGCTGATTTATTTTGTACGTCTTTTGTTGTTTTCAGGGTGGCGGGAAAGTCTTTGGATGCCACGTGCAGTGTGCGGCACGTGGCCTTAAATCGGCCTTCAGCAAAAAGACGGTGGTGGCGGGTTTAACGACACACATTGACGCGGTCAACCCCAAAAACTATGAATGCTATTGGTCGCGAAAGCGTACTGTTTAAAAATATGGTGTTTTGAGTGTGGTGAGATTGGCGATTTTGTTGTGGGAGGGGGGGGCCTAACGGAAATCGTTGCAAAATAAAATATTGAGAAGAGACGCAACAGTGCAATCCTCTTAAATGTGTTTCTTTGAGAATGCCCTGGCCTTGCCAAAGTGCTGACATTGCAGGTAGTGACGACTTATCTTTCTACTGCAGTGCAAGCACTTGTAGCTGGGCCGTCTGGGTCATCCACCGCACAAAAGAATGTTGCACGTTGTGGTTGTCACGACGCTTTAGAGTTTTGGCAAAATCCCCCCCCCCAGGTCGGGCATTCGGAATTGTTGTGTTGGTAATTAGCGCGTTTTTTTATAAGTTTACTGATTTTCTTGCCTGCGCGTGTTCGCGTTGCCAGCCTTGTCCAGATTTGAGCTTCCTGCGCGCGCATGTGCTGTGCTTGCTTGTGTAAAGGTGCATTTAGTGCAGATAGTGGCATAGCTGGCATTCTACTGCTCTATGTGCTCCTTCTTTCACAAGAAGTCACTTTGCTGCTGCTGCCGCTTCCTCATTCCTGCTTCCATCCCTGGACACACCCCGCCCGTGCGCCATATGCCCCCCCCCCGGGGCGTGCTACCCAGCTTGGGATTTTCATCGGCCGTACCGTCGACTTAATTGACGCCAAATGTAGTGTTGTCGACTGCTGGCAAGACTGCGACTCTTGGGTCGACATTGCTCACCTGTACTGCAAGTGAAATTACCGCTTGCTCTGCCTGATCAATCTGTCCCCCCCACCCCCTCTGCACCATTTGTTCCATTAAATCCAAGCTGAGATATTGCGCTGCTGATAATTCGCACCTGGTGGTGGGGGGGGGATAAATGTGTGCTGTGGTGCTGTGCTTTTGTCAGGTTGGGGGGTGGGGCAGGAGTGCACTTCGACCTGCGGCTTGCTCGCTCTACGGTGGCGCTTGTGCAATCGTGTGGCGCTGGATTCAGGTGGTGATTTTTTTTTAAACACGCGGTCTTGAAATGGCATAGCGGTGAGATTTCAAAGTGAAGAAAACAAGGACTCAAGCCTGCTGTGGGCGTGCATTGTTAAAGTGCAGATAGTGGTAGTTGGTCCTAAAAATGACAGCTACTCTATTTACACTTTAAACACTGTGCGGTCCCAATCCCCTCTGTCGCCTTCTGCTGGATGGTTCATTGTTTAACAGGAAATGGTTCCCTGTAAAAGTTGATGGGCTTCTGGTTTGACGACACGCTTCGTTTTTAGAGCCCAGTTGTGTAATGAGCAGGTGGTGGGACTGATTTGTCTTCATCTTGGGCGAGTGGTTAAATATTAAACGGCATGCGCACGTCCGTGAAATTCTAATTTATTTTGGGTTTTGTAGCACGATGTGGCATATTTTGCAGAGTTGTGTGCTTTAAAATTGCTTGCCCCCCCCCCAACACTGCTCTTGAAAATATTTCACGTTAAGCAAATGTACTTGCAACTAAGTGCAAGGATTCTTGAGTCCCAACAAATGTAACTGCTCAGCCACTTGAGGCTGGCATGGGTGCAAGTTCAGGTGCTAACCTGTTTAAAGGAATACCTCGGATGATTATCAACGTTCAGAATTTATGTAATGTAGCTGGGATGATTGTTCTTACCCTGAATTGGTACATGGAGACAATTTTTGCAAGTTTTTTTTTACTTTCTATGCATTTAGAGATTGCACTTTTAAAAGAAGTGAAGAGAACAGGATTCCTTTGCATCGTCTCTGCGCTGGTGAGAAGGTGCCTCTGTCAGTTTTGCAGATTTGCACTGCGGTGGTGCCTCGTTCCCAAGCTGTGCAAATCCCCTGCAAAACTGATGGCGACACTGCATGTGCTCCCTACCTCGTGCCCCCATCCCCTCGCTAATGCTGCTGCATTGTCAACTTCACTTGCATCTTTTTTTTGCCTTTTGGATACATTGTAAAATTCATACAAGTTATTTTTAGACTTTTTTTCTCGCCCCACAATTGCTGTTGTATTAAATCGGATGTAATTACGAAAAATTGTAAAAAATGGTTTTTAAAGTAATCGGCTGCCATGAGTTTGTTTTATTAGGTGGCGCATGGTTGGGGAGAGCACCCGTCCGTGGCTGCTTGTGTTTTTGGGGTGTCTTGCGCATGTGCTGAATTACATTTGGCTGAGACTTGCAACTTGCCCCTGCCCCCTCTTTCACGCGAGCCGGATACACGTCTTTCCAAGGCTTTGGCAGAAGTGCTGAAATGAAAACACGGGGGGCAAGGATTGAACTAAGTAATTTTGTTTGAACGGACCCTGGTGATCCTCAAGTTACCTTCTGCTGTTGTAATATTCCCAAGGATTGTAGCCTTTCTCCTACAGAGTTGACCCGTCATGAACCCCTCTCCCTTCCAATGAAGGCATCTAAATTCAGCTTCTCCCATTTTCTCACACGCATGCTGTCCCTTAGTCTCATTACAGCAATCTCGAATTGCATGCTTGGTGCAAGGTTTGTACTGTTGTCCTTTTGGAATCGAGGTTTAAAGTAAAATCCTGTAAGTGCTGAATGTCCTATTATCCATGCAGAATTGATAAGATACGTACACTTGGATGTGGTTCTCACCATTGACTTGCAGAATTTGCGTTGGCTGCGGGTGGACAATTGCGCATTATTTTGCTGTCGAGCATTTAATATTCATTGCATGTTTGCGTTTTTGTTAAATTATGGTGCCTTTCATTATTGTAACTGATGTGCGTCATATTTTGTTAATGCTGCCAATGTCTTGCCTTTACAGCATTTCACGTGTCCGTTTATACCTGCAAGTTGTGCTGCGTGTTAACCAGCCTTGCAGTAAATTGTATACATGGGAAGCAACATTGTGCTCTTTACCGATGCCTCTGCTGCTTTCTGTGCTATATAGTTCAACACTGGCCATTTCTGCAAAACGATGCTTGGTGTGTAACCTTGACTAGAAATGTAAATGCAAGTCTCCTCGTTCACCCAACTGTTTTGCCTCAACCTAATCCCTTGCTGTTAAATATGGGGACAATAATGCTTTTATCTAGCACTTTTCCCACGCTCAATGCACTGAATGGTAAAACTAACCTTTATACATACTAGAGAGAATATTACATGAAAAACAATGACCTGTAATAAAGCTAAAGAGCATTGCAGGGACAGAGAATATACAGAGGAAGAGGGACTTTAAGCCAGTTATGACCTTTTGAACAGTCTTTAGTTGATTTGAAGGTAAATATCGACTCAATCCGATGTTGCATAGCCTCGGGGCAACTGACATGAGTTTAGCACGCAACCTCCCAGCTTGCTAATTATCTTGTAGGTCCACATTGATTACACGTTTGGCGGGATTATTTAGTGGCAGGACTTTGCTTGTGGTGTTATGTCTGCCCACAGGGTGCCAAAGTGCTTATAGTGCAGGTAGTTGATCTTAGTCTACTGCATTTTGAGCACTTGTAGCACCAGGTGTGGAAAAACCATCCTGTAGGTCCGTATTGTAAAAGTTTATGGATACCTCCTCACCTTGCAACTGAACTACAGGCCTTTCTAATCGTGTTGCTTATGTTTGAATTTTAAAACGTTTGCACCCTTCATGCTCTCCCTGCCAGTTTTGCATGTTTGCTGTCGGCTTGTCAAAATGTGCTGTGCAAATCCATGCAAAACTGACGGTGAGTGCACCTCCGCTGACTGCCCACATCAACCCAGCATGTCTTCACGGTCTGCAACAGATTCGGTGTTGCCCTGTCGCGCATTTTGGGAGGTTGCCTTGTGATTTATTTATTGTTGCATCTTTATACAACGCGTTCCCTGTCCCGCTGAGGTCAGGATGGGCAGCAATGCGTGACTAGATCCTGTATTGCACTCGTCCCGGCCTTAGCGAGATTTATCGGGTATCCGATCATTTTCAGGGGAATGAGGTGCAGCCTTGAAGTGGCATTTTTGTTTTACCACCTTGTCAGTGTTCATGCCTTTTAAAAGTAACTACTCACAGCTTTTAAAATGCTTTATGCAAATTGGGTGGGTAAAGTTATTTCCTTCGTGCCATGTGTATTTGAAAAGTTATAAAATGTTAAACGGTTTGAAATATTCTGCCTTTTTAAACTGAACTGTAATGTGAACGCCTGTGGCCAGATTAAAACTTAGACTTTGAATACCACTGAAATGTAAATTAAGTTTGTTTGTGCCCCAAATTGGTTTTGGTTTTAAGTGTATTGACATGCTGCTATCACTTTGGTATGTCAAATATTGGTATTAATTGGATTGTACAACTAATTGTAAGTAAAATCTGTGGGTGGCCACAACTCTCCCAAGGTTTGCCAAGCAGTTAATTGCGGCTTGACATGTTTGCGTCATCCCTTAATTGAGACAAGGGAATATCGAGTTGCAACAGTGTCTGAATTTTAATATACCTCTGGCTCGGCCAACGGTTTTGAGGTCGAAGGGATTACATAAATCTATACCAAAAAGGGCATTTCAATCGACGTTAAATTCAGGAATAGTTTGCAATATTAGTAACTGTTATATTGAATGAATCGTGACCCTTATGCAGACATTGGTTGCTGTGCATTACCATTTTCTAACTTCAAATGCTATTAATAAATTGACAATGTTAATGGTTACGTTTACTGCAATTTGAGGTGCATATTTGCGAACCAATAGTCCTGATTTTGTTCAAAGTTGGTTTATTTTGGATGAAAAGTGTTTTTTACGGGTTTGTTTGATTCATTCCGTAATCCATTAAGTTAATTTTCAATGTGGGTGCCAACATGGTAAGGAATGGCATTTTTTGAAACAAATGTTTTTCATGTTTGATTTGACATTCTGGCAATGTTGTCTTGGTTTGCATCACCACTGCTTGGGCCTGCCAAGCTTGTAAACATTTGGCAAGGGCCCAAAAGACTCAATTTAGCCAGTGGCGTCAATGGCACACAAATATTACGCATTTCATCACTGCTTAATGTGTGCAAAGGCTCCCAATATTAACCTGACAAGTTGGATCTATAATTGCTCTGGATTTTAGAAACCATTTGCCGTATTGAAGGCACTCGGTTTTGCAGTAGTTTCAATTACCAACCTCGGCAGAAGATTATTTTGTGGGGGTGTTGGCGACATCCACGGTCCCTTCAGTTGCCTTCCGAAAGTGTAGGCGCCAGGGCTGCGCCTTGTGACCTGACATTTTGTAACGCTCAAACTATTTTGTAAAGTGGCGTTTTATCACGTTAATTCCTACTCGCAAGTGTTAGAGCTATCGTTGGCGAGAGGTTTTCTGGAATTATCCAGCATGCAGATCTCAAACTAACCTTTTTGAACATTATTCTAGTCGGACTTGCAAAAATAACTTTCTAAAAGGTGGTGTCATGTGAAAAGCAGCAGTGCGTTTGTGGTTTGAACGAACCACGTAGACAACGTATGCCGCTTTTCGTGGGGGAGGAGGGTGGGGGGAGTGACATCTTTGTAACCTGCATAGTGCAGGCTGAAACCTGTCGCTGGCCGTTAGCCCAAACAAAACAACCCAACTCGTTCTCGCTGGTTCGAGTTATGCAGCGCGATGTCTGCCGATAGCGGCATTCAACACTGTCCTGGGGCCACAGGTGAGCAACTCCGGTTGGAATTGGGTGGTGGGGGGGGGACCGGAAAGGGAAGGGGGCTGCCCTTTGTCCCCGTGGGCGCTGGGTGGAGGGGGGGAGATGCGGGGTCTCGTCTGGACGGCGCGAGCAGGCGGAGACTGGAGCAAGTGCTCTACACTCGTGGTGGCATTGCACTAGTCTCAGTCTGCCCGAGTCGCCGCCCGAAACTTTCACCACCCCAAGCCCGCTGTGTTGTCACCGTTGTGGTGTGGCGGTCTCCGTCTAAGCAAAAGGAGGCGAACGAACTGCCGTTGGTGTGAGGCGCTGTGAATCTGAAATGTAAACAATCTCTTGGTCACAACTTGGAAGTATAATGGGTCGCAATGCTCGAAGTTGAAGCCGACAGTCTCGTATTTAACCTCCGTTTCGTCATGTACCCCGACGGTACCACCGTCTAGACTCGGGGCATCACTAGCCCGTCTGCTTTGTGTCAACTCGAAACTGCTATGCGGTGCTGTCGACCTCAGGTATTTCGTATTTCTATGGATGTCTTGTCTCCCCGCACCCCTCCCCATTCGTACGTTTCTGAATAAAAAAATATACTTTAAGCACTGAGTATTTGTAAGATTATTCGATACGCTCGCAGTGTTCACCCCCCCCCCCCTTCCTACGCCTTGTTTTATGGTGATAACTTGCAGTATTTTTTCAAACCTGCATAAACAGACATGTTTACAGTACATACAACATTTTAAGATCGGAAACATGCGCGCTGGATAAGGCTCGCTCATGAGTTTTGGCAGAAGAGCTACTTGACCCAAATACGGTGTTTTTCTGAACACTAGTTTGGGTCGCGCAAATAAAAAAAAGTCCTTGTCTACCCCGTGTTTTACTCTACTACACCGTACACTACGGGCTTGTGAGCACTCCATATTCTATTCCGGCAGGCGTCGCGAGCTGTGCTGCGTGGCCGCCAGGGAGCGGTCAAGTCCCAACACTGGGCACGTTTACTGCTCCAGGAGCGTGGCCCATGCCCACGGCTTGGTTAGTCGCGCCTGCTCGATTCGGGCTTCCCGCACGTTGCTGTTCTGTGACCGTAACTTCACCGTGGGGGTTTGAAAGGCGGTGTTGACTAACCCGCTCCCCATGGGCTTTGCTGTAACGCCGATTGCCCGGTCTATTTCGCGCGTGGTGATCGTTAATTCAAGCTCCCCCCCCCCAACCTCCTTGGCATACGAAATACGAGCACATTCCAGATGCTTTCTAAGTGCATGCCGAAACGTGATGCGCAAGTGGTGTGGGAGGTTGGTGTTCTGGTGGCTGCAGTACTTGAGGGTGTAGCGGTTGGCGTGCCGGGACACCCAGCGACCCAAGTTCGATTCCCACTGACGACAAACACCTGTGACGATTATCTGGTCGTGGGCCTCCCCTAGGTCTACTCTGCGTCAGTACCCTGTGTGGTGCGTGTAAGCATCGCCAAGAGGGAGATGAAGACTGTCGGGCGTGGTGCTGGCCACCCCCTCGTGTGCTGTTCTGGCGTTCATGGGTGCTTGGTTATACGGAGTGGTCTCTGGTGCAAATCCAGTTCAAATGCACTCCTTGCCGGCAGCTTATACTGACATCACCCAGGAATGTCCTTGACGATCGTGACGTCACACGTCGACCAGCCTTCCTCAATGTTCTTGAGCAGGTGACGTCCTCTAAATGGACACCCCCAGCCCTCAATCACTAACCCATCACTAATAATGAGAAAGTGACGTCACTCCACATCGAACAGCCCCCCAATAATGAACAGGTGACGTCCTCCAAACGGACCCCCCCATCAATAATTAGTGGCTGACGGCACTCCATGGGGGGAGGTGGCGAGGTGCCCCCCCCCCCCCCCTCGGCGTCAACTTACAACCCTCACCCCTAACTACAAAGGCATAACCCTCACGTCACACGATCTCCATAACGCTGTTGAGACGTAGAAGTAAAAATGACGTCGTGATGAACAAGGGAACATTTAAATTAAATAAGTCTGTCACGGCACCCTTACAAATTGCACACGGATGGATGCAATGAATATCACGTCGCGGTCTGCTTTTCGCTTACAAGTTTCAGATTTACTGCAATCCACTCGTCCTTGGACGGACAAACTTCATTGCAACGTCATTTTGTCTGGAGGCGAACGACACGGCAATCTATTCCCCTCGACGCGCTCTACACGATGCGTTAATCAAAGTTTAAAAGTTCGGGTTATGACTGGCAATTTTGGCAAGGACGGGTGCTTGTTTTCTGGTGGGTCGCGGCGTTGATGTGTGCGGTGGGATGTGGTGCCACGGCAGCGAAGCCGCTCGCTCCGTCGGAGCCGTGCCAGCAACGCCACCACGGGAGAGTGTGATGATGCTGCAGCAGCAGCATCATCACACTCTCCCGTGCCTGTCACTGTGATGCTGCAGCAGCGAGGCCGTCCGGCCGACTCCGTGGCCGCGACGCCGCCATCTCCGAGCGACGGGGCCGATGCTGCTTTCCCCTCGCCATCCCCCACATAGAGCCCCCACATAAACACACCCCCCCACATAGAGCCCCCACATGAACACACACACCCACATAGAGCCCCCCCATGAACACCCCCACATAGAGCCCCCACATGAACACACAGAGCCCCCACATGAACACCCCCACATAGAGCCCCCACATGAACACACACCCCCACAGCGCCCCCACATGAACACACACCCACATAGAGCCCCCACATGAACACACACCCCCACATAAAGCCCCCACATGAACACACACACCCACATAGAGCCCCCCCATGAACACCCCCACATAGAGCCCCCACATGAACACACACAGAGCCCCCACATGAACACCCCCACATAGAGCCCCCACATGAACACACACCCCCCCACAGAGCCCCACATGAACACACCCCCACAGAGCCCCCACATGAACACACGCACACATGCCCCACATGAACACACACATAGAGCCCCCACATGAACACACACACACACCCTCAGAGCCCCCACATGAACACACACACACCCCCAAATAGAGCCCCCACATGAACACACACACCCCCACATAGATCCCCCACATGAACACACACCCCCACAGAGCCCCCACATGAACACCCCCCCCCCCCCCCCCCCCCACAGAGCCCCCACATGAACACACACACCCACACATAGAGCCCCCACATGAACACACACCCCCACAGAGCCCCCACATGAACACACACCCCCACATGAACACACACGCACACACACACAGAGCCCCCACATGAACACACACACCCCCACATAGAGCCCCGAGGGGAGGTCACCTGACCGACAGGTTTTCACCCAGAAGCCCTCTCATGAGACCAAGCTTCACGGTTTCCTGCGACCAGGGAACTGGGCGACCTCCCCCGAGGCTAACTCGCACCGCGGCGCCGTGACTTGGGTTGTAATCACGTGGTCACGACGGGGCTGCTGAGCCACCGCGGGTAGAAAACACCCACAACACACACAACACACACAACACCCACAACACACACAACACCCACAACACACACAACACCCACAACACACACAACACCCACAACACACACAACACCCACAACACACACAACACCCACAACACACACAACACCCACAACACACACAACACCCCCAACACACACAACACCCACAACACACACAACACCCACAACACACACAACACCCACAACACACAACACCCACAACACACACACAACACACACGGGTCAGCAGGCAGGTAGGGGGGGGGGGGGGGCTCTCCGATTGGTAGGACAGATGCGCTTGTTTAGAGGGTGAAAAGCGGACGTCTGAGAGAGCACCGGTCCGGGGGGAGTGGTGGGAAATCCGAGCCACCTGATTGGACAGGAGGCCAGCGGATCAGCACCGATTTATCTTTGATGTAGAGGACAATAAAGAGAGAAGGTAGGGATAGGGTTAGTTCGTATTGTACTCAAGCCAGGCTCGGGGCCGTCGACTTCCCAGCCACTCGAACGTCCGTGTGACGAGTCGAAGTGCAGCGAGGATCCGACCCAGCAGCTCCGTACGAGTCGAACCGTGAGTCCCCGAGAGTGAGATATTGAGGCCATTGTGAGATTGTCTTAGGAGAGTGATTTGAAAGAGGCGATACAGATCGGGTCTTAGACCATCGGGAGATAGGTTAGACCTGCCCTGCTGACTCAAACTGACTCGGGTAATTTAGCCTCGGACTCGCTGAGAATAAACTGTTGGTGATCAATAAACCTTGTCGTGTGGTTTCTGCAAGGGTGGAACGGAAGCATGGTGGTGTGCGTCGTTGTACCCTGTGTTTGTGCGTGAGGGTGTATTTACCCACGTGTTTGCGCTCGCCCATGCGTGTAGCTCGTGGTTAGCGTGTGCGTGTGGTGAGCGGCGGCGGACTCGTACAGGGGCACGTGAGATTACTCACACGCCCTTTCGTTTAACGTGTGCGTGAGGCTAACGGGCGACGTACACGCGAGATTATTCGTGCGGCCTTTTGTTTAGCGTGTGCGTTGGGTGAACGGGCGGCGTACCCGTGAGATTGTTCATACAGACCTTTAAATAAATCTCCGAGACAGCTCCCCCCAATCGGCTGCGCGTGTGCGAGTGGCGTCCATGCCCTCTGACCCCCGACCCCGCGTCCCGCGCGCGATTGGTGCGTGGCACAGGAGAGGAGCGACGTCGGAATTCGAGTGAGTGGGTGTGAGTGTGCAGAGATCGTGTGAATTGATCCCAGGTGGCTAAGCGCCAGCCACGAATCATGCCCCGAAGGGCCGCAGCGAAGAGGGGGGGGGGGGTGAGCAGTAACCCTCCCCAGGACACGGAAGAGGGGAGCAGTGGATCCCACGTGAGCGAGGAGCCGGGGGTCAGCCTCCCCGACAGGGACGGAGTCGCCAAAAATATATTAAGATTTTGACTTCCGTTTATTCGGGACCCCGGGGTCCTGCCATAAGGTTCACTATAATAATGCCCAGTTTACATTTTTGATCTGGAAGTCTAGTTGAGTAAAAACACTTCCTGCCAAATGTGTAGTTTCGCGACTTAAAATTCTTAAAATATGAAACTGATACTTGCGTTACTGATTGTACTTTTAACAATGACAAGTCATATTTTTCAAAAAATGCGCGTGACTTGTATGTAAGTGCATTGGTTTACAGTCAAACTGATGCTCAACGTCTGGAACTCGCCCCGAGGACCAAGCTGCAGTGAGAATTTCAGTTTCTGTCAAATCTTAAGAGTGAAATAAGTAATATTAAAAAAAAAACTTTTTTTAGTAACACGCTTTCATGAAATGTACCGTACTAGTAATGGAAGAACTGCACGACTCCAGGAAGTGGGCCCTAAGCTTTCTATAACGTAAGGGGGCCTTGGTCATTTACAGCCAACGTGAGTTGAGCGTGGACGATTAGACGGACGCCGAAACATAACGTAAAAAATAAAGCTTTAAAATATATAATTTTTATTTTTAATTATAGAATATAGTATTGTCATCAGTGTGACATAAGTATACCAAGTTTGCAGTCGATACCACATTGGGAAGTGAGTTAAAATTGAGTTACAAGATTTGAGGATACAACAACAGACAGACAGTGAGTTAAATAAAA